TGATTTGATTGATTGATTGATTTGATTTTTTAGCCAATCAGATATTTTAAAACGGACAGGACACTCGTGACATCGGGTAATTTTATTATATTTTGATTGATGATTGATTGATTGATTGATTGATTTGATTTGATTGATGATTTGATTGGTCAGGCATTAAAATGCAATATTTAAGCATATCGCAAGGTTGTAATGTCTAAATAAGTCTTTATTTTTACCTAAAATTTTATAATATATAAAATAAAACATCCTTTTTTTTATAATAGCAAAATTTTAATATATAAAATATTTAAAAAGCTTATATTTTTATGTATTGTAAAGTTTGCTTCAGTTGGCTCAAATTTGCTTTAGTTATACAAAATGATTAATTTTAATTGGCTGATATCATATGATCATCATATGATTTGTTCATCATCAAGGAGTATTACAAAATACCAACAAATGAAAATGAAATAACATGAAAAGCAACTATAGATATGTGTTTCTTTCTCTTATATGCTATACGTGCTGCACTGTTAACAATGCAAAACTCAAAAGTATTACAAGAATTTGTTCTAAACTTGACAGTTTTCTAAGACATCACATATCAAAAGAGGTGGAGTGAAAAAACCAAATAATCTTACTAGAAAAAACTTTTATTTCACCTCCAATTGTTCTAAAATCAAAAACGCAAACTATGAACAACCTGTACAAACCAAGTATTTTATAACTGTTGTCCTAACAGGCCACTTCCTTATAAAATACCTAAAAAATTTCTTCACGGCTGTTATTTCAGACAGGCCATCAATATATAAAAAATGAAAAACAATTTTGTAACTGTTATCCTGACAGGCCACCACTAACCAAAACTAATAACAAACTTCATTGTAACTATCATCTCAATAGGTCACTCCTAAAATAAAGTATATGCCTGTTGTTTGACAGGCCATAAACTAATCCAAAATTGGCTAAACTACTAAGTGTTGACCCAATAGAACCTTACATAAAACCTTCAATTTGTTGTACAATCATGTACAAGGACTGGGTAGAGCAAAGTAAAAAAACCAAACAAAGTCAAGTTAGCAGAAAAAACAGAAGCTACCTTTCCTGAGAAAAAACCTATTTCTACTACTACTATTATGCTTACTAATCTCAATTACTATATCAATATGTTATAAAATCACATATGAATCAATAATAAATCAAAATAATGCCTCAAATAAAATCACACAATAAATTACTGTGATGCAACAAATAACTAAAGTTATACAATAAAATATGATAATATAGCAATGATTAATTATGATACACCCGTAATCGATTCAAGACAAAATGCTGCTTTGATACTTTCATATCAGGCAGCTAATTTTGTTCTTCATCGAGGGGTGTTACAAAATATCAACAAATAAAAATAAAAACAACATGAAAAGCAACTTTGGGTCTTATAGAGTATCGACCTGAAAGGCAAGGTTCTGGACCTATGTTTCTTTTACATCTCTTTTTAAACCTATACAAAGCCTATTAGCCTAGAGGCCCCCAACTTGGTAGTACTAACTACTCTTATATATATCTGTACTGCAAACTAGCCACCAATTGACTAAATCTGCCCTATTGTTATTCACCCTTTTAGAGCTGCTATTATACTACCAATCTTTAAACTATGCGCTGTATATCTTCTGAGCAGCTTAGCATTATCCACAAACCACTTTACAACAATCACAGATAACTTTTCCCCACTTCTAGACAGGAATAGGGGCTTCTCTGATGATGTAGCTGGCCTTAACCTCAGGTAATAATTTAACAATTCATTGGGCATACTCTACTTGTTGATCTTTCTACTGGAATAAACTTTCCTCTTCCTAATTGATCCATCTTTGACTTCACAACTATAATTCACAAATTTCTATCCTCTGTAATATCTGCCCTTTTTAAATTGTATAACTCGCTGGGTTTATGTATAATCCTTAAACCTAAGACAACCAATTCTAAATCTCATGCCTACAACAATATACTGACCCCAGGCAAGGCAGTCAATATACCTCCCAATTACTGCTACTGAAAGAGAATCTCTTGGCTATTTCACTTCTATCTTTTTCTAGGCAGCCATTCTCTTGATTCATTCTACAATCATCCAGATTAAACTCCTCTTTGTTGGGTTCTCGAAACCCTTACTTTGTATTTTCTAGCTATTGTAAATAGGCAGATTTGTATCTCTGCTATCTGGCCTAATAGTTCTAACCAAGCAAGAAAAGCCACTAGCAATTCTCTTGATACTGGGTACGGGGCCTAACCAACCCAATCTGCAAAACTGCTATAAACACTCTGAGCTTTTATCAAACACCTCCTATACTTTTTACTAATAGAACTATCTATTAAATATTCTGCTCTACTCAAAAGCCTTTTAACCAATTCAACAATATTGCCCTTAATGACTACTGGCTGTTTTTGTATAGCTCCAAGTCTCCTGAAAGCTCTAGCAAGATAATTTAGCTTGTTGGTAGTAGATCAATCTTTTTTCTTGATAAATTTACTACTAGTGGCCACCACAAGGCTAAGACCTATACCAGAACTATAATCACTATCCACGCCCTACACTCTTTTGCATAGCATAGCGCCCTGTGAATCAAACAAAAGAAGGAACAAAGATAATTCCTTGCCTCAGCCCAGTCTTGGGTGAAACAATCTACTATCTCTAATCTTAGACAGAAATAGAGACTGTTGAATCTTCTGGTTTTTGTATTTAGATGGCTCATGAACTTGTTCATCTTGAATTGTTCTCAAGTCTGTTTCAACTCTAAACTTAACATCCAATCCCACTGATCCACTACCCTAGTCAACATATTTGCTGGGTTTAAACCACTTGGGATTTACCTCAAGCTAAAAATACCAATATTGGCCTCAATATACACCTTCCAAATCTGCCTGATAATATCTTTTTGCCAATCTGTTGGGCCTCTACTTACTACAGTTCTCAAAGCCACCTTGTTGTTGATAAACAATGTTATCCAGATATCAACCAACAACTTTTTGAAAGACTAGAGTATCTAAAGTATAGCCAAAGCCTCCAACTATGCTATCACATTTGAAATGTGAGGCTGCAACCAATTTTCCAATATCCTGCACTCCTGATATATACTACACCAACTTGTTGTAGAGGTGTCGATGTATACCACCTTATACAACAAGTTTTTAGGCTAGCTAGCCATTCTACTTTCTCAGATTTACTACTAACCAACGAATATTCTCGATCACCTGTGATAATAACTGAACTTCATTGTCCTATTGCCAACAAGCTGATGTTTTGAATCTATCAGCTTGTAAAACTATATGCACTTTATTTAACTTGGGAAGAAGACCCTTCTCAAACTTACTATTCTTCCTGCAACTGAAGCCAAACTTCTTGTCGATACAGTAGATGTACCCAAAACTACCTCAAACATAGCTATCATCAAAACTGCCTTTTCTTCTAATACTACTACTACACCGTCTAAAGTGTCCACTATATTTTGCAAAATTTTATAGCCTAAGTCGGGTTCCAACACCCTTTCTCTTAGACCTAAACCCAGCCGCATCCTGCTAAATCTTTCTCTATCACCTTTTCCCTTATCTTTAATAATGCTTCTCTTGTCAGGTGGGCCACCTACACATCATCAAGATAGTTGCTACAATATATTCCCTAGATACACTACTTGCCAATCAATGCCCTTATTAACTTTGAAAATACTTAAAGGGCCTGACTCAAGCCAAAAAGCAATATCCTGTACTGAAACCATGTCTCCACCACAACAAAGCCCAACAACTTTTGCATCTTGGTGTTCATAAACATATAATGATATCTGTCTATTAAATTAAACAATATTGCCCACAACCCCTTCTGATCATACACAAAAGACCACCTAGCCCCTCAAAATGAAATAACTTCTGGGGCAGAGCCTGATTCAACCTTCATAAATTAATCACAAGATGAAACCTTCGAAAGCTTTGTTTCAGAATTAAGAACACTGGGCTTACTTCCAAGAGACTTGCTGGTCAATAATTTCTCTTGCAAATTTTTACTATTGCTCTGATGCTTTTAACCTTTCAAACTCCTTTTTTAAACAACACTTCTTCTCTGTAAAACAATAGAGTCTTGGGTTCAGACTGGCCGCCAAGCATATTAAATTCTTTGAAAACAAAAGGACCCATTTCTTTAACCATTTCAATATCATCTAAGAAGGTCAAATCATGTTCTTCTAATAATTTACCACCGTATGACTGTGAATTCTCCTAGCTACTTACTCCTTTACACCACCACACTTCTTTCAACAACCCTTAGACATAGTCAACTGTTTCTTGACTGGGTTCTATCACCTCGAAAGGGCAACCTCAGGTATTTCTTAGAAATACATTCATTAGCAAATAACTTTTTCCTTCACACAAGTAATAAACAATATTCTTTTTCTTGGGCCCTTTATTTTTATTATCCTTTTTAAACCAGATGGGCGAAGAAGAGTATGACTGTTGTCACATTGGAGATGACATACCAACATTTGAGCCAAAGTATTGTAGTTGTTATCTACTATTTTGTAAAAACTAGGGGCTAGCCTAGCCTGACTAAGATGAAAAAGATATAAGATCTCTAAACTGATCTTGTAAAACATCAGTTGGTTTAAGACTTGTTGACCAAACCCCGGTTGCTGCATGTAAAGCTGTACTGGTGCAAATTGTGTTATAGAAACACTGCTTGGATGTTTTATAGAATAGATAGGCAAACTTCGCAACTCTGCTATTAAAATATTAATGATTACTAATCATTAGCGAAGCTTATTTCTTATATTGCCCATCTATTCTATAGAATATCCTATTACTTATATGGAAAATGGGGCCTGAGCCTATGACTGCACTGACTGAGGCTAATACAATGATCTTATCTTCTTGGGCTTCATAAAATGCTATGCAGCTGATCTAGCTCTCTCACATTTTTCTCCCAACAGCTCTAACATTGGATCTGAAATATCTGCCAAAACTATTTTAAACACAATAGCCCAACTATCTTCATTGGCTACCCCAACAATATAAGCTCTTTCCAAAATGACCTGTCTCGCTAAACGAACAAAGGCTATGTTCCCAGAGACCAAGACCTTGTCCAACAATATCTCTATTTTACACAATTCATTATACTTCTATTAGTTGTACTGCTTTGTTAGCTTTTGCTTCTCCTATATGTTTTTCTATTCCATATTATTTAATGCCAGAGTATCCATATCAGTGCACCAACTTGAAGCCCTTTTAAACCTAGTTTGAGTCAAATCTTGGCCCAATATAGACTGTCTTCTGTAAGTATTGTGAGAATTTTTAGCTATCACCCTTAACTGTTGCGACCTATCTCCAGCTCTCTAAAAAACATCCAGTTTCTCTGAAAAACCTTCAACCTGATTTGAAATAGGCTGTGGATGAATGTTTTTCTCTTTTTAGAATAGCTCAGAATCACTAACAGATACTTCTGAACTCAACTGAGCTCTATTTTCCCTTGCCAACCTAGCTACAACTTTCTTTTTCAGTTCCAAATTCAATACACCTATTCTTTTACAGATAACTCTTAATGCCTCCAGTGATAAATATCTAAATTTGACTTAAGGCTCACTTGAGTTATATCAAGTTGAGCCGAAATGTCGTTTGATCCAATGGGTTCTGAATTCTTATTTAACGTTGATATAGGAATAACGATAATATTTAAGACTTCACTTTGTTATAAAGAAAAATTACATTTATTTTAAGTACCCACTAAAACTAATTTGCTTAACTTCCATATAGGAAAAGAATGTTTATTTTCAAGGTAAAAATAGGTAAAACAAGTATAACAGGTATAGCACGAAAAAACCAGACAAAGTCAGGTTAGCAGAAAAAAACAGAAGCTACCTTTCCTAGGAAAAACCCCATTTCTACTAAATACTATTATACTTACTAATCTCAATTACTATGTCAATACACATACGAATCATATAATAAATCAAAATAATGCCTCAAACAAAATCACACAATAAATCACTGTGATGCAACAAATAACTAAAGTCATATGATAAAATATAATAATGCAGCAATGATCAATTACGATACACCCGTGATCAATTCGAAACAAAATGCTGCTCCGATACTTTCGTATCGGGCAGCTAATTTTTTGTAACCAACTTTTGAAATCTATTCATATCTTGCTGAATATTGAACCAATTTTAATAATTTTACTATCATTAGAATTAGAAAAACCTGCTCTATAATTTTTACTTAATAGCCTAAAATAATTGGCTTAATAAAATTTTGTAAAATTTTAA